TTTTTTACTTTTAATTTTTAAAAAATTATACTGTACATAAGACCCCAGATTTTAGAAGTTGATGAACGTTCAAAAATAGATCCCGTGTCAACTTTATCCAATGAAAGATTTATCACTGAATTGAGAAAAATGCTGGGTTTTCGTTACACCGATTTTAATGACAGGAACATAAACTTTTCAAGGGATTAACAAAATTCACGTTTTTTTCCTCAGTGTTTCAACAGCGTTTTCAAAATTTCGAGTCACAAAAGAGACTGCAGAAAAGTGGATACTCTTGAAAAAAAATTCCATACAAATCTGACCTGGTGATTTAAAAAAATTATACATTTCTAGTTGAACATCAAAAAGAGAAAACTTTCAAGATAAAAGCAATATAATTTACTACTCATTACGGATGATCCGATCAGCCAAAAAATAAAGCGAACCAAGTAGAACCAAAATATTTTCAAATTCTGGCGAATCAAAAATAAGTATGGCGCCTTCAATTTTTTTTTAAATCGCACCAAATTTAACTTCGGAGAATATTTTTTTAAAAACCGCGAGAAAATGCAGCCCCAAAACTTATCTGAGACACAGTTTCACGGTAATCAAAAATAAATAAATTTAACAAAAAGGCAATGATTTCTGCCCTTCGCTGCTGATCCTCGTGCAGCCGCATAACCAAATGGAAACCAAAATTATCGCCTGACCGCAGATAAAAGGTGGAAACAAAGCAAAACAAAAAAAATAATAATATCAACGAGGGACGCCACGGAAGTTGGGCAAAGGTTAGAGAGAAAGAACAAAAAAAAAAGTTATCCCAGTATCCAACGCACTTCCCCCCCTCACTCAAGTTTCGTCATTACCATGCAAACGTGTCCCCCTCAACGAGCCCGATTTGCCACCCCCAGGTGCTTCTACTGTACCCAGTTTGCCTTTTTATGGGATCAAAAAGTTGGGGGACGTCCCCCCCTCACTCAAGTTTCGTCATTACCATGCAAACGTGTCCCCCTCAACGAGCCCGATTTGCCACCCCCAGGTGCTTCTACTGTACCCAGTTTGCCTTTTTATGGGATCAAAAAGTTGGGGGACGGAAAACAAGTCTCCTACTTTTATTTTCGATTTTTAAACCTGCGGGTTTCATTTTCGTTTCTCCCCTAGTTAAGATGCGCGTTCGCGATACCGAAACACAGGGGGGGGGGGATATGGAAGAATTTATGACTTTTGATAGCAATAACAGAAAACAGTGTTCATTTCGGGTCTGGTGACGAAACTGGCAAATTTCGACTAGTTCAACGGTGCATATAAAAGTTCGGGAGGAAAGCGCAAAAATTTGCGAGTTATTTCTCATGCTAATTAAATTAAAAATCGATTCGTCTCACCCTAATTAAATTGATGATTATTCCGTTTTACCGAACACTAATCTTTTAATCGATTCTTCTCATACACTAATGGAAGTGAAGATTCTCTAATTTTCCAAAAACAAATTTATAAATCAATTCTTCCATAACTAATGAAATAGAAGAGTCTTTTGTTTCCCAAAAAATGCTTATATTGACTCTTCCCATGCTAATTAGATAAACTTCTTTTCTTCATTTTTCGAACATCAATCCAACAATCGATTCTTCTCACACACTAATGAAATTGAAATATTCTCTAGTTTTTCCCCAAAAAAATTTAAAATCAATTCTTCTAAAACTACTAAAATTGAAGAGTATTCTGTCTCCTGAAAACAAATGCAAGTCATTCTTCTCATACTAATCAAATGGAAGATTATTCCGTTTTCCGAACATTCTTCTCATACACTAATGGAAGTGGAGATTCTCTATTTTTCCAAAAAAAAAATGTTTAAATCAATTCTTCCAAAACTAATGAAATGGAAGAGTCTTTTGCTTCTCAAAAATAAATTCTTCTATTGACTCTTACCATGCTAATTAGATAAACGTTTTTTTTTCTTTTTCGAACATCAATCTAACAATCGAGTCTTCTCATACACTGAAGAATTGAAGATTCCTTCGTTTTTAGAAAAGCGAATTTTACAATCGATTCTTCTCATGCTAAAAAAAATTTGAACATTCATTCGCGGAAAACTTGAGCTTGGAAAAATTGCGTCATCTGACCAGACAACTCAGAGAAAGGAAAAAAAATGGTTTTAAAAAATGGACCCAGACAGACAGAACAGAAAACTGGTTCAAAAAGTCGTCGTAAAATGGTCTGTCCTCCAACTAACCCACCAACAACGAAAAAAAATAAAAATAAAAATTCCTTCTCTCTTTTTGTCCTCTTCATGCTTCATTTCCAACACAACCCCGTACACAAAATGCGCAACGATGGCACGCCACCTTTTTTTTTTTTTTTTACAACCGTTTTCCCTTTTCCCATAGCTAGGTTTGGTTCCAAACTACCCCAACCCGGACCGACGACGAGACACGCGAAAAACGACCGCATTAATTCATCTTTCCACGTTACCCCGAAACCAGCAGTCTTCATCCCAAGTTCCCAACACATGGCACGGCATGGACCACGGGAAAAAGGCTTCGTAATACCAATGCTGATTATGATGATGATGATGATGATAATAACGATGGATATACTGACTTCACCAGGAAGAAGAGAGAGAGAGAAAATTAACAGGGGGATACCCAACCCCCAACAAAAAAAAAAGAATATCGCCAGCTGCTGCGTGGCACACAAGAAGCAGCAGCAGCAGCAGCCGCCAAGTACCTCACTAAAAAGTACCAGCTTCATGGTACTTTGCACACGTACTAAAAACGCGGAAAGGTCCAGGCTTTTTGGGTGGTAAAAATAAATAAAGTGTAAGGACTTATCGAGAAAGTAAGTACCGCGGCTGTTTCTTTGACGCCTCGTTTCGCTTGACAATAATGATCTTTATAGGCAACAACCAACGAAAAAAAGAAAAACAAAACTCTTTATTGTCCGTTTCGGAGCATCATTATTTGATATTCGGCGCTTTCGAGGGGCTTCTCAAAAGTCCCCGCAAGAGTCGCCGAAATCGTTGTGTTGCAGCGCTGATGACGCCTTTCGGTCATTTTCTGACTTAATTTCCAATAATTGATCGCAACAAAACTGCATCCAATTTCAAACACATACGATTGATACTTGATCAAAAATGTTTTGAAGAATTTGAAAATTCAATGGTAACCCATTTATCACAAGAAAAATAGAAATCATTGAAACTGTAATTTCCACCCAACATCTTTCAAAGCCGCTGTTTATGAAATTTCAAGAGATTTTTTCTTGTTCCCAAGAATATGTAAGAAATAAAACTTAACAGCAAGCAATTCTTCTAAAAAAAAAAAAGTAGGGAAATAATTTCCTGAACAATTCGATTACAAGGCATTTATTTGAATGGTATGAAAAATTAAAGGATAGCTACGCTTCATATTAAAAAAAAATGACAATTTTCAAGTGAAGAGCAAAAGTTCCGAACAAACCATCCTAATTTACAATCGTTTTTGTTATCTGCAGCAGCAATCGGAATTAATCTTTTCGTTCCGAGTCGAGTCGAACGAAAAAAAGCCGCTTTATCTTAATTAATTCTGGTAGGAATAGAATTGACGAGGAAAACTTCAGTTTTTTTAATTCAACGTCGTAAAAAAGTTACTTTTTTCAAACGCTTTCCAAAAGGCATTTTTTTCCGATTCGAAAACTTTTCGTTGTGCAATTTTTTCCTCGATCACAATAATGTTTTACTCGGTAGACGAGCTGCGAACGAAGATTGCTTGAATTCCACGCAAAAATATATTTCTGCGCTTCAACCCTCCCCTTTTTTTTTTGAATTTCAACGAAGAAATTATTCAGAGCTGAAGCATTTTCCCATCTTCTGAAAGAAAAGAATAAAAAAAAACATTTCTACTCACCGGTCTTTGGTATGTTCTCCTTGTCCTGGGAATCGGCGGCACGCAATTTTTGCGCATCGTCAGACAAGACGCAATTGCCGAATTTCCGTCGGTGATTGCAAAGCCTTGCTGTGCACAACGGCGTCTCTGGGCCAGCCTTTACCTTGGAATAAAATTGTTGGAGAAAATTGTCGAAGAAACCCTTATTATTCAACCATGATCTTTTTTTTTCTTCCTCTCAATGCATTCCATTCAACGCAAACAAGAAATTGGCAATCAGAAATGATTTCTTCGTACACGACGAGAAATTGACAAAAGATTTTCTAAATTATACATAATAAAGTAGAAATAAATTCCATAATAATTTACCCGGATTTTTAATTACTGCGCATCGTTTTTAAATTAATATTCAACGTGTGTAAAAAGAGACTCGATTTTTAATTGCGGAAATCAGAGTCCAGAAGATCGCATAGAACGTTTTAAAAATTCAGCAATGACTCAAAAAAATTAATCACCGGTATATAGATTTCATGAAGGTTCATTTAATTGGAAATAATAAATTGAAATTGTAGATATAAAACCTAAATTCGGAACGGAAATCAGAAAATCTGGATGCAGGGTTTTAAAATTACGGTCCGTATGCATCCATACGTAGGAAACAATAAAATGTAGAAAAAAATTATATTTCAACAGAAGAATCGAAATCGAGAAAAACGATTGGACAATTTTCTGACCTCAATGTACCCGAGATGTTGCCAACATTAAATGACCTAACAATTCGCAAAAAATACGATTCATATCTTAAATAAATTTCATGAAAACGCGTAAAATGAATAAATTTATTACAGAACTAAGAAAGGTTAGAAATTTTCAAAAATAAGTTCCTTGGGATGAATTTTTCATTCCCACACTATTGTTCCATTCAGATTCATTACTATACGGTCACTTCGAATCAACTTTTTAAAATCCTCTCGACAAATGTCATCGCCATAAAAAAAATGTATAACAAATAACTTACGATTAATGCGAAGCAATCTGATACCGACCGATAAATGCTATCGATATTATATTCAAGAAAAGAGCCGATTGACGGCGAACAAATAACGAAGATCACATCAATGATTGCAGGCGGAAAAAAAATTGCTCATTTTTGAATCCAATAAAAACATCCAACTTTCCCAGCGACAAGAATAACTCGAGTCGCAAATTCGACGAATTCCTTCGGCAGAAGAAAAACAATTCAAAATGTCAAGCATTTCTTCAGCTTTAGAAGAAAACAAAAAAGAATGTAAAAATATTCGCCATGTTCGCCGGTAACAAGGAAAAGAAAAAACTCCATTCCGACGCTTTTCAAAAATTTTCTCCTTTTCCTCTCTATCCACATACTTTCTTGTTAACCGAGTGCATTCGTGGGATACGATTTGTTCCGCTTTTTTCCACTTATTTGAACCCGGTGCCTTCGACTTTTTTATAAACGCTTCGTGGCTGGGCCCGAGGTGCGCTCCGATAAAATTTTTGCCGCTCGCTTTAAGATAAAAAAAACTTTCGAAACTTTCTTGGAGAAGTAGACGAAAAAAAAATCGCTCTAATTTCCACCGATTCATGTGCTAAAATTAAATTACTTTTCAAAAATATCTGTACAGTACGCGTCACTTGTTTGGCTGCTACATGAAAATATAAATATCCCGTGGGGTGAAGAAATTTGTAAATGATTCGAATAATTTTCATGCGTACCCACGAAATTTGAGAAGAGAAAAAAATTGTGCATACAAATTTAATTTTAGACTACCTCATTAATCTAGCAATGCTCGTTTGCGAAATTAATACGACAAAAATTCGAAGTATCAATTGCATATTCAAGCGATTCATTTAATTTAATTTAAATTCATCGTTTTTAAAATCAAAAAAGAGTGAATTTTTCACATTCATTTTTTTTTCAAGTATTTCCATTGACTTTCTTAATACAGTACCTCGAGGACCTCAACTTACATGCAAATTTTTTAGCAAGCTCGGGTCTTCTGGCGAAATCGGAAGTCAGGGTATCACATGAAAACTAAAGAGAAAAATCAGAATATTCCATAGCTTGAATTCAAAAGAAACTTTCTCGTATAATATACAAAATTTAATTTAGCCGTGAACTACTTCTATGTCACCACACGCGAAAAAAATTATTTTTGCCGCTAAATATTTCAAAAACATATCAGTTAAAATATTGAAAATCATTCGCTTCACCGAAATTCATGAAAATGAAAAAAACATTTTTATCCAGTCCTCAAAAAAAAAAATAACAGCGATATTATTCTAATCTCAAAAAGAACACTGGAAAAGACAGGGAATTATTTTCTTTGTTTCCAACGTCTTTCCAATTATCGTACGAATGAACTTCATCCACCGAGCTCGGGAAAACGTACATCAAACGAACTCGTAATAATATTATGCAAATCTTTTTTGCTCCCCCGCACTCGACTCAAGTCTCAGGCGATGGAAATAACGTTCAGAATCGTTTGTCGGCATGCGACATTGACAAGAAAACAATCTCGCCGGAATATCATAAAAATAGTCATCGGGGATTTTAATTTGAAGGATTCGAATGCAAACGAGCCGTAATTAAGTTAAGTTCCACGAAGTACTGTGCTTGGCATCGTCAGTATATTTTCACGATAAAGATTTCTCACAAGGTCACACAAATCCACAACGTAAGTCATAAATCCTTCGTAAAAATTGTAGAGGGCGTTCGCGAACTTACGGAGCATTAAAATACTTTCAACCTACTTGAATAATTATTCCACATCGTCCATGAAATCGATGAGTTTTAGTAGAATTGGTAAGTCCAAAATAACACTAATTTCAAAACGAAGACTACAGTAACAAAAAATACGAGGGATCCGCACTCATAATTTTAGCAATGTTACACTAAAATAAAATAAAAAACAATGTGAAACTAAGTCACATGATTTAATCCCACAGAAGAAACTTTGGAATGATATTATTCTCCCATTGATCGCAAATTCCTTATAAAATTATATCTTTACATTTTCTAGAACTGGTTTTTTATTTTAATTAAATAGGATCACTCATTACATTTCCGGACATGCATCGTTTTTTTTTCTGCAAACTTTTCCAAACATGAAGTTTAATTTGAATTCACGCTTACAATAGACTGGGTACTTTACACCTTCATGACATTGAAAAACATCGTCAGACCAACAATTCTCCGAAACATATCAGCAACAGTCGAAAGGAATTAATCATTTTCCAAGTCAGAAAATCAAATAGAAAAGCCATGAAACCGGATCAACTTAAAAACAAATTTCGCTGAACTTCACCTCAGAAATCGTTAAATTCAACAAGAAAGCCATTTGCGGGTAGGAAAAGGGAGAAACTTGACGCAAGAATAACGAAGCTATAAACGAACAATTGCGGGACAGTGAATATAATTAAACTTGTAAATAAAAAAAGAACTACAATAAAAATATTTAAAAACGAACTCACCTCCGGCTGAAAGTTGAACGTCTCGCCAACGTTCAGCGGACAGTCCAGACCGCATTTACAAGTACCAACAGAAAGTAAGTACTTGCGCACCTCGTCCACTGACCGCAGAGTAACTTCACTCGGGCTGAAAAATCAAGGAGAAAACCCCCATGAAAAAATATACCGTCAACAGGGAAACAATCACAAAATATTCTTTTTTTTTTTTTAATACACAGAACACATTTCATAAAAATGTCAACTCTCAAAAAAATAACAAACGCAACTCACTCAGAAAGTCTAATTCCGAAATTAAATTCAAGTAATTACTACAGGGAATCGGCTCTTGCCAATTTTTCATTCGGGTTTCAACTAATTTGAAGGTGAAACTTTTACCACTAGATATATAAACAGAATAACTTGTCAAATGAACAACCAAAGGACGCAATAATAAAATATGCACACGTCAGGAACTTTTGAATATTAATTGAATGAAATTTGTTTTCAACATTGAAATGAAACGCAATCGCAGTTCCATAAATTCTGCTTTTCATCGATCCCAAGAAGAAATGCATAATTTAATCTCTGATTATGAATGAATGAATAAATGAACAGAAAGCTTTATTTTCCACTTTTCAGTGTTCACTAGTTTCAATCAACATTCCCACATCCAAACCCCCTCCCCACCCCACCCAAATCCATTCAAACGCATTAAATCACTTCAGAATGGGAAGCAGAAAAATAAGCTGTACATGGATACCAAAATAAAAGAAAATACATTCCACAATGTACAACTGCACAACTGATGCGTATACGTATGTGTACACCCCCTTTTTTCCCTGACATTGAAAACAAAGAATTGCAGCATAAGCCAGAATTATAGCAATTGCAGCAGTTACTGAACCCAATTTAAAGCACAAGGTCTTCAAGGCTGATCCCAGATAAGGTTTTAGTTGAATGAACAATTTAGAGAGCATCTCTGATTAAATTATTTTTGTGTCTTATTTTTAATTAATAATAATCGTTGTGTCCATTGAACACAAAGATTCAGTTAATGAACCGATAAAAATCTTTGCCAAAAATATATAACTTTAATTGAGACAGTAATACTTGTCGATNAATTAAGGTAAATCTTCCTGCAATCGTTAATTCATTTTTCACAGGGAAAACACTTGAATGCTGTGCTTGAGACAATAATTGAGCGGATAAGGTTATCTGCCGCCAAATTATTCATCAGAAAAAATAATTCGTCAAATAAATGCACAAAAAATCCATACGTCGCACTGGCAAAATCATCAACTACTTCTTTTTACATCAACTAAAAATAAAACTCTTGCGACGGAAACGAGCATTGTTACACTACAAAAACCCAAACACTCAGTGTCCACGAGGCAAAGACTCTTAAACATGGCACACATATCAGTCATCTAAAGAAACGTACTAGCTTATACTGAAAACGTCCGTATTTTTCTTTCTTTTCCCCCCAGGAGAATAAATGAGAAGAAAAACCTTTTGCGAGGGTTACAATTCAAATTAAAATGCCAACGTACGGTACAGCATAACAAAGTAATCCGAGCCAATTAAGCTAACTACCATATCCCACACCAGGAACTTGTTCCTTTCATTTCTCGAGCGTCAATTAGAAAATCGCCACCGCACCCAATTAACTTCGGGGCGTACGAGAGAACTTTGTCCCAACAGGACATTCCAGACACAAGAGATAATAGATATATTATACAGTAATAATAATAATATTATTATCAAGCCAAAAGGGAGGTTAATTTCCGCTGACAAGATTCGTTCGCGCAAACGCAGAGTTGGGTCTCAATTACAGTACAGTACTGCCTTCACTTCACCATACGCCGCACTTTTGTTTCCCCGCAAAAAAAAAATGTTTTCAATATACAGTACAGTACTTTGAAGTTTATAGACAGTACTGAATCACAATTGAAAGATCAACAAACGTTTCTTCACACGGAAAAAATCAGGCGTTTTCGGGGAAAACTTGGAAGGGGAAACAAAATAATCTATATGCGCGTGAGAACATGCGGGTGAATTTTTTCACACACCAAATGCGATCCCTGATTTTTTTTTTTTTACTTCGTTATCAGACTTTTTTTCTCCCAAATTCGTGATTCGGTTTGCGGCATTCAGACTTTTCAGCTTCCTGAATTTTCTGGGGAAGATTCAAATTACGGCCTTACACTCAACCAAGACGAATTTAGGGGGGGGGGGATGTAAATAAATCTGAACAGTGTGCGCGTTCAAGATGGAGGATTTCGGACATGAATTCCTCAGTGAGATGCAAAAAATAATTGTTGGGTTGAAGGCGAGTAAAAATTGCTTCACAAGGTTGAAACTTTTTCTGGCCCCGTAGAAACTCTCGCATAATGCAGAAAATTCAAAAAGAAGCTTCGCTTATATATTCGTAGCATATTAAACTGCATTCGTGTCAAGGACATTCTAGAAATTTTCGCTGTACTGCATTTTTCCATTATCCTCCAGAGAAAATTTGCCTTTTTCGGCCTTTCAAACGCCAAATCCAAGGAGAAAAAAAAAAGTTTTCAGCTCACAGATTTTTTGGTAGCATCTCACTGTTCTATGGGGCATACGGACAATTAAGAGAGAGGTACAATTACAGGGATAAATAATTACAGTCAGAGACAATTAGGCATTTCTGACAATTCAGGCATCGTGTTCTCCATTGAACGGTGCATATTGGAAAATCAGCCAAAGTAATTCTGCGATTCGGGAAACCAGAAAAAAATGGTACGAAGAACTAAAATTATTATTATTCCAATTATTGCTTCAAATTTGTCTACGTCTCCCAAAAATATTCCTGTCTCAAATCTTGTCAGTCTTGGGTTATTTCTTGTCCTACATCCGTTCTGTAGGTCTACTAAAGGGAGGTTCGAATATTTTCTCATGATGTTTCAAGGAAATTTCCAATAGATCCGAAACAGAGTATCCTCCCATATAAACCTTCACTTGACTTGGATCATAATTTTCTCCTGTCCATCTCGTGACTATCGATCAGCACAATCATCAACAAATAAACTTCGGCTCATCCGACTACAAAAAAAAAATTGATCAGTGTCTGCAGGTGAAAAGTGTTCAGCGATTTGGAAGAAGAAAAAAAGGGTTGCTCACCAACACCCCTGATTCAAGGCAACCCCAGGACAAGAGAGATAAGAGACATCTCCGGATATATTCACCCACGCGGTTCCAGAGAAACTCATTTGTTCCAAGTTAAGCCGCCTGTCATTACACGCCCACGATTTCAAATCGTCCCGATTCTCATTGCTTCCGAGTCCCAACAGAAAATTTGTTGCATCCCAAAACACTTTCCTTGAACGTGTTGAAACTCATTACAGTGGGTTCCGCGCATCAAGAGTGACTCGGTAACGAAAAATCCGCAATGCGAAAGTTTTACGCGAGGAAAGATTGGCTCACGAAACGATTTTTTTTTCTTCCCCGCAACAACAAAATTTTTTTTTGAATTCTAGCATTTCATTACATCTGACGCTTCGAACTTGAAAAAATCATTTTTTGTGCCTTGCGGAAATTCGATACAATACAATTCAATAGACTAGAAATAATTAACCATATACAGTATATTTATGCACATGAAATACAGCATCGTTAAAAAAATAAGTATGTGATATTTGTCGGGTAAAAAATAATTCTGGGCATTTATGTAGAGATCATTTTATTAATGTTCAAAACAGTATTTACACATTGTAAAATCAAGCATTTTTGGGGTATAAAACCAGTTTTATTTGGCTAAGAAACAATTTTTGCATGAAACCTCAGGGAGATTTGTGATTCACATGAAAAACATTTCGTATGACAAGAGAAACTCGGAAACCAATTAATTCCGTCATGTGGGGGGACTCATTGAAAATGGTGTTTACATTTAAAACGGTGATTTGATTCCACGTATCCTACTTAATTTAAATGTACTTAATTTAAATGTCACTTAGAACGTAAACACAGGGTGAAATATATAAAGTTTGAATAATGAAAATTCATTGAGTACTCATGAAAACACGTCGTCATGTTGACTAGAAAACAATGAGTCACTCAAGTTTTCGCTAAAATAAAAAAACTTCGTGGTGCATTTTTTTTTTAAATATCTGTTCAAAATGTTTATTCTCGTAATGAGAAACGCGAAACTTTAAAAAATGAAACCATGAACAGATAACGGTTTGTGAAAAGAAACCAGAAATTTTCAGTATCCCAAAAACATTCTGTATGCGCCGGTCGGGCCATAATTTTGCAAACGCCCGGAACTTGTATACAGTACTTGGAATCAAATACGGTAATCGTTTTCATCAAAGACAGTAACTTTCGAAATAAAGGCTAGACCACAGATTTCCTTTATCCCAAAAATAATTCCCGGTACCAAAATAGAAAACTGAGTCAGCCGGTCCGGCAATCATTTTATAATCACCCAGACCTCATCGCTGTAAAAAACAAAATCACGAAACAAAACACACAACCAAAAAAATAATGAATAAACCTTCGAGAAAATCGACTGGGATGCGCGCACCATTACAGAACCCTCGTCCAGTAAACAAGGAATAAATACATATTTTTAAATGAAATAAAATAAAATAAAACCCCAATATCCGAGGCTTAGATAAGTTGATCCGATGATCGCGACACGCCCAGCAACGCAACCGCCCTCCGGCAAACACCGATTTCCCGCTGCTGGCAGGTCCAAAGCCGAACCCAATTTGAACTCATAAACGCACGACAAGTGCCCATTAACAATATCCCTACAAGGATATCTGGAGAAGGAAGCCCCCATTACGCGTTCATGTTGCTTTTTGTTTTCATTTTCCTTTTCCTTTCTCTTCATCCCCATCACAAAGAGTGTAGAACAAAACTGATCCCAGGATAATAATGCACTGGATTCAAGTCTTTCTTCAAATAAAGTACTTACAAGTACTGTGCAGTATTAGCTTTGCTGTGAGAAAACATTTTTCACGAAATCTGTCCCAAAAAAAATCTGAAATAACGCGTCAGATTTGTGTTGGATTTCAACTCAAACAGATGAACTAAATAAATACTCGAAGCTTAAAAAAAAAATGATTAAAAATCAAGCATGGTACCATAATCAACCTTCTGACAGCTGTTTCGAAACAAAATGAGTTTTTTTTGTGAGAGAACCTGTCGGTGAAAAGTTTACAGACCAGATGCAGTTTCCACTCGAATCCATAAATTGGCTACATTTCCCTCGCAAAAATCCCAACTCATTTCAATTTCTAGTACGGTGAACATGGTAATCTAAAAATCCAAATCAAGTCATAAATGTTCGATTTAATTCACGTTATCGCATGTAACAAAAAAGATTCAAATCATTAAAATCGTTTCCAAAAATTTAATTGCGGCCTCATCTTGGAGAAAAGAGGTTTATTCTCATCAATGATCGCTACGCAAGCTGCCAATTTTCGAACAAAAAAATTTCGAAACAAAAATATTCGCGATTATTTTTCCTTCACAGTAATTGAGGTTTCGCCATTTTACCGTCTCAGGTTAGATGTTGAAATGAAAATTCGCAGAAGGCCTTCGAAGTCCCGTTTTCCTTTGAAATTATTTTCCCGAGAAAAGGGCGTTTCTTGCAGTACTTTTACAACATGTTCCAAGAAGCATCCAATACCAGGTAAATAGACAGTGAGACCCCGACATGCGGACACCTCAACATGAGGACAATTTGACATTGGGACATTTATTTTTCAATAAAAAGGGCGAAAAAAAAGGCCCAACATACAGACACTGACTTGACATGAGGACATTGCATAATAAAATTGCCGATAAATTTCACAAAAATTGACTATTATTCAGCTTGATTGCAAGAAACAGATACTGTATTTCCAACGCAAAGATTTATGCACAAAAAATTCTTTTGTATTTCTCCCATCATTTTCCCATCCATTCAGCTAATTTAAAAAAATTACCCATAGCATAGAGGAACTTGCTTCTCTCTTTGTGACTTGAATTTTATTTTTAAAGATGCCAGCATTTCAAGGTACCGTACTGAGGTACACTATTCAGTGCTACAAATGTTCTTATTCAGTTGAAAATATATTCACTGAATCAAATTCAAGTGGCAAACAATTTTTCATGGAATTCTGAAGAATATTTTCTGAAGAATATTTCTTCCATAAAACACCAATTACAAATTATATAATGTAAGTCTATGGGAAAACAAGACTTGACTTGGGGACAATTCAACTTAGGGACACTCATGATGCACCAATCACGTCCACATCTGAGGGTCTCATTAATACTTATTACCAGCAAGATATTTGAATTATTTCCTTTTCAGACGAATGATAATTTCTCGCCAAATATGAAAGTGTGTATTTTTGATGATAAATGAACTTTCCTGCACTTCAATTTTCACTTATCTTTAAATCGCAAAATATGACATTCCTCTCGAGTACGATTTGCTTGAAAATTATTTTCACAATTTCAAGTGTACAATATTTCTCAAAAATTTCGAGTCTTCACGGTGCATCAAACTTCAGTACTTTTCAAGGGCATAGCTCAGGTACTGAATAATAAATTAATGAAACAAATCTGAAGGGATTTTACAGCTATACTTCCGAAGCAGACGGTCAATGAAAGTCATGAAAACAAGGTTCATTTTAGTCACAAAATAACTCTGAAACACTTAAAAATTACATTACACAGTATTATAAAATTTCCACCTCGATCCCTCATACGCTTGATGAGGGATCGATGAATGAACTAGTAACACATTGGAATAAAAAAATTCATATTTTCCACACAGAGCCTAGTAAAATACGTACTGTACACACAAACCATTAAAGGCATGATTTCTCTTTCAAAGCTGAGCACGGAAACAAAATTGAACAAACTAGGGAAAAGTTTCAACCCTCACGCTCTTTTAAAGAAAAATCTAACCTAAATCTAAACAATATACTGCAGCGTATTTCTCAGGTTTCGCCGCATTAAAAAAAAATCTTTCCTGCAGCAATTTCGCCTTATTAAATCAAAACAAAATCTCAGTGCAACATGTCCCCAGCGAAAACACAGTTATGAGCTGATGAAGATAATTAGCGACTCCCGTTATAATATACTGTATATAAATATAAACAGTATATTTTTAGTGCGTGGACATGGAAGCAAGGTTTTTAGGTCCTCGCACGCGTTTCTGATTCCATTAATTCCGACAGCGGCTTCCGCGTTATGAAACGTCACTCATTTGCTTCTATACTATCCTCCAATGGCTCCGAAACGGACATTCTTTACCGCATTCCTCTCAGCTTTTTTTTCCCCAAACAAAAGGAAGAAAATAATAATAATAAAAAAAGACTAGTTCGCGACAAACGGCGGCAGAGGAGGAGTGGGGAAGGCAATTAAACGCCGAGTGGCAATCGCGAGAATCAATCTACGCATGCCTCGGCCCTTAATTGGACTTTGAACGAGTCTCGGTTTTGTTGACGAACTCGGGGAATCTCTCAGGAAATTTAAAATTTAAAGTATTCCTTCATTCAAAAATATGCACGATTTAATCCGAGATTCGAGAATAACACGAACAGGTAAGTCCACTCGAAATTCTTATTCTTTCCGTCAAATACGAGGGTTCTAACAAAAGTTCTCGGAGTAGCAATGAAAATGGCTTACAGTTGACCTGAAACAATTTTTTTCTTTAGGGAAAACATTCTTTGGCACATAAAAAAATGTCAGCCCTGTTTGACAATTTTTTTGCTTTTTTTCATAATTCACCCTGGTAGAGTTTTACTCTCCACTCAAAAGATGAGGCGCCCTTTTTTTACTGTGGCCCAGCTTTCTCCTCAGAATTTTTAAAATCAGCTTGGCATTCTTCCTAACGGTTGCCTCCAGGTCATCGAAGGCAATTCCGCCATTTTGCCCAAAAGCCGCCTTCACAGCTGCCAAAGTGGCGGCCAATGTGGATGACCTGGAAGCAACCCTTAGAAAGAATGTCAAGTTGATTTCAAAAATTCTGAGGGGAAAGCTGGGCTATAACAAAAAAAGGGCGCCTCATCTTTTGAGTGGAGAGCAAAACTCTGCCAGGATGAATTATGAAAAAAATGCAAAAAAATTTGTCAAACAGGGCTGATATTTTTTCATGTGCCAAAGAATATGTTTTCCCTAAAGAAGAAATTTGTTTCAGGTCAACTGTAAGCCATTTTCATTGCTACTCCAAAAACTTTTTTTAGAACCCTTGTATATATTTTCCTTCCTTTTTATAGCTTATGGCTTTTCCATTAGATTTTCAAAAAACTTTGCCAATTTTTTCAATTCATATCTAAAATGAAGAAAACAAGTTCAGGATACTGTATTTGTGCAACTAAACTTGATTTGGGATATCGATTACAAAATTAAATTGTAGTGTATGGCGTGTCCCAAATAAATACTGTGCAGTGAGACCCCCACATGCAGACACCTTGACCTGCAGACAATTCGACATAGGGACACTTATTTTCTCATAAAAATTAACAAAAAGGCCCAACATGACACGGACTTGACATAGGGACATTTTGTGATAAAATTGCTAATACATTTCAGGCCACATTAAAAGAAACACATATTTCCAACCCAAAAATTGAAGCAAGAAAAGTTCTTGGGCATTTCTCTCAACAATTTACCATCCATTTAGCTAATTTAAAATAATTACCTCCAGCATTGAGGGACTTCCTTCTCTCTTTTCAACTTGAATGTTATTTTTACAGAAAAAGCCAACATTTCTATGTACTGTACAGATGTATCAGTATTCAATTCCCCAAATGTTCATATTGTGTTGAAATATATTGATTGGAATCAGTTTAAACTGGGAGACAATTTTTATTTTCATAGAATTATGGCAAGTATTTTGTCCATAAAGCACCAATTAAAAATTATATAATGTAAGTCTAAGGGAAAATCAGATTGGACTTAGGGACATTTTGAATTAGGGACACTGTTGATGCACCAATCACGTCCGTATCTGGGGGTCTCACTGTACAGCATTTCAAACCAAGTCTCAAACACCAGTATTTTCGTCACTCAAAAAAAAACTAGATACAGGCTGACACAAAAATGCAATGCAAATGATTTTTCGTCCTTTTTTGCATTCAAGGAGCAGCGTCAAGAAGAAGAAAAAAGGGCTCGAAAGCCTCGGAATTATTCACGCTTTCCAATACCATCCACATTTCAGGTACAGTACAGTACAGTACTGTGAATAGCTTCTTCAAAAGTAATAGTCAGCCTTGAAACATATACAAATGAAGCTCGAACTTCGCGACCACAAACCGCCGGAAACTGCGCATTTGCATTCACACGCACACAAATCAATAAATAAAATCACCCGTTTCCAGCCTAATACAGTGCATAAAATAATCATCAGCAGGGGGTGGGGGGAGGGGGTTTGGTTGGCATCTCATTTCTTCGACCAAATGAATTCCTTCGATTTATTCCCCAGGCCGAACATTTTTCCCCCTTCACCAAGCGTCTTTCTCTCTCACTCTTATTTTTTTTAATATCTCATTCCCTTGTGAAAGAAGGATTTTTACAACTTCCGATTGCGTCACCAACCTGCTCGGGGGAGGATTCACAAGAAAACGAAATAAATAAATCAAGACAGGAAGAAAAACAACGAGAATGCAAGTACCAAGAGCAGAGAGTTCTTCCGTAGAGAAGAGAAAGATTTCATCATCATCATCATCATCAGACACGAGACTGGGGGACTTGGTTCCGCTTCGTTCCACTTCCCGGAACGTTTATATCCATCCCTCAAACAGCAACCCTTTTGGTCCGGCTGGTGGGGGGAATGGAGTGGTTTGTCCAGGGCAAACTTTGAGGAATGGATATCTCACGGAGAAGCACGAAGCCAAAAAGAAGGGGGGAGGGTTATGCTGGGTACACATGTCCCGAGAGGTTTTTTACGGACCGATAAAGAAAGAAACGTACCGTCGGAGTCGAGTACTGCACTGTACCACGCGCACCTTCGTTTTCAGCTGGTATAATTTATATTTTCAAAAACGAAATGAGGCAAAATTCGAAAATACAAGCCCAGATAAAAATTGAACTCGTTTTTCGATGTTTTGTCGAATGCGAAACGAAAGAAGAATTGAAAAAGTTGAACTTCGAAAAAATTACAAAGTTTCAATACATGTACAGTACTAGAAAATGTGTACCTCGCTACAATGCGCTCCTCATTTTGTTTTCCCCGTTCATTCTATTTTTTTATTTTTGCAAAAAGTTGCGCGTGGTACTCAAGAAACTACGGGTATTTAGACATAAATCGGATGCACAATTTAGTCACACGGAGAATTCACATGAAAAGTTAAATTAATTCGTAGAACTCGTGAAAAATAAACTGTAGTGTGTCTCAATAATTTGATATATTATATCACGTGGAGATTCATTCAAGCAAATCCAGGTACACTGAGCAAATACAAAAAATTAAATGAATAACGATTTAAATGTATGACGGAAAATTAAAACGTCAACATTTTTCTAGGTACACATGCACAACGGGGGTTTTTTTTCAAATTTCCCCACTGATGGAAAGGAAAAATTGAGTCTAGATATTTAGTTACAACTCGGGTCGAGGACCATTCAAGCAATTTGAAGCACACTAAGCAATTAAATAAAAATCGAAAATAGTATAAATACTGTATATGAACACTTTCTATGCCTCATGAAGAATTACCAAGTCAAGGGGTTCTGCTGAGCACATTTGACCTGAGGGGTTTTTATAAAAAGTTCTCGCACTGATGGAAAAATCGAGTCCTGAAATTCATTCAGTCGAAGAATGGGTGGAAATGCATTCAAGTTAAAAAAAATTGGAAATTAATATTGTATTAGGAAAACCGATTATATAATTCATAGAGAATCACACAGTCAACGGAATATGGAGTACCCATGCCCTGAAGGTACAGTATTTTCCTTCTTCCCACGACTGAAAAGGAAATTTCAACATCGAATTTTTCCGTAATTTCGCGCGTAGTTTTTTTTTTTCTCGGGCAATGGTATAAAAAAAAGAAAGAATTTCAGAGACAAAGAAAAAGAATCATGACCTGCCTCAATTCTGAACACTCGTTGAATAATTACTGGACGTTCAAATTTCCAGTAAGCTTCGCTTTTTCGTCCACTTTAATGACCGATTTTATGAAGAATAAATATTTTACGAGTACCCTGGTCCTTGTTTGAAGGGAAACACGACCCGAGTTCCGCAGAAAATTAAGACTAAAAATTTCGTCAAACAAATAACCCCTATAATACCGTTCTTGTCGCCATGGGCTTTCTAGAGACGAAGGCCCAAAACCGAAAATGCACTAGACATTGAAAAGTACTGACGCACACGACTGGTACTGATTTACTTTTTTTCAACACCCAGTCCCTTTTCTTGATACTCAACGAAATGACGGAAAAATAAAATCTCGGGGAAAGCTTTTTGAAAGAGACGCATTCCTCGAATTAGCAACGCTCGTCAACGCATTCTCTCGACTTGAAAAAAAAACAATTTCAACATTTAAGACAATTCTGAAATAATACTTTTCATGAAAGGAACTGAAAATTTGCTCGACGACGAAAGCATCTGGCCGACTTTGACCCGCGAAGCTGTGGCTAATCTGCATCTCGGAAAGTTTTCCGTGAAGAGTTTGAAAGCATCGTTTCGAAATCTGGTCACAGCTGGGAATTTCCAGTAAAACTCCGAGACGAATAATTTGATTACTACATATTTCCCTTACATTCGGATAAATTTAATTTTGCCCTTCAGAAATCATCAACTGTGAAATTAAAGAGGATCTGCGAATCAATTTACTACACCCAGACCGAATTTGTTGGGAATGCACGCAGTGAAACCCGTTCATCGATTTCATCGCCTTTTTTTTCATTCTCAGAAAGAACCATTAAACCTGGATATCATTTCTTTAAAAATGTCTAAACAAATTACGATTAATTCCAAATGCAGAATAAGTCAAGTTCCACAACCCGTTCGAACAATGCAAGTGAAGCGACGTTTAAAAAAAGTATTGAAGTGTGACAAAGATTTTAAAAATTTTAAAAGCTCTGAAAAGTTGAACCCATAGCTTATTTTTTGTCTATTTTACAACGTTCCTGTTTCAGGTGACGCATTTGTCATCTTAGTGAAAACGAAAAATAATTTTAGGGTTACGCATAGAAATCATCAACACTTCATTCTACCTCAAATTTTGGCGGTCAGTCATATATTATATGTACTTATTTAATAAGAACAATGAAATTGGATATCTTGAAATTTGATACCTAGTTCTTTGCTTTAAGGGCTTTTTTCATTCCAAAGAGGCAGATTCTGCGTGGTTTTCTTCTACACAATTACTTCCCGCGTTTTAAAAGCGAAAACAATCTTTTAATTCGATTTTGGGGGACTTTCTCCACATTCTCGATAAACAGGAGAATCAATTGAATACGTTCCAATTGAAGTCTAAGGGAAAATGTGACCTGACGTCCCGACCCAGGGGACAAGGTCCAAAAAACCTCATCACATCCACATCTTGGTGCCCCACTATATATATATATACTGTATACTGTATATTCAAATTCGGGGTAATGCATTCACGTCAGCAGAGAATACGATGACAATGAGTCGAAAATAATACGCATATTTAAGAATTGATAATTATTGAATAGACGGGTGGCCTTTATTTTTTTCGAAATTCCCCTTCAAGGCCATTTTTTAATGTGCTTTTAAATTTCGTGGAAAACTTTCAGTTATAGCGAAATATTCAAGGCATTTTAAAACATTGCGGCCGATACAATTTCGGGAGGAAAATTCCTCAGAAACTGTGAACGACCCACAAAATTACGTGAAATCAATCTCCGCAGGAATAATTTCAAATAATCATCCTTAGCTCTTGATTTTATTTTCACCAACTAAAAAATTTGAAAAATTAAAAACCTGAAAAATCTCAGAGAAAAGGTCGTCTGAAATAAATTCTGGCAAATTTTCACTACAGGAGTCCTCAATGTGAGTCATAGCAGCGGAGAAAAAAAAAGAATAAAACTAAAGGCGCACACTTCATCAAATTTCGAAAGAGGAACAATCCAGAGAAAAAAGGTCGAAAATCACTCAACTAGACAGACAAACAAAGAGGATTCAAACAATAGCAACAACAAAAAGAGGAAAAAGTACGCAGAAAAAAAGAAAAGAAACACTCTCTCTCTCACCTTTGGTATATCACAGCAGCGTCTTGAACCTCACGCTTCCACCCACACGGAACTATCACACTCGGAAAACTATCACCGCATTCCGTCACACCAGTCTCCTCCTTCACAATACTCGCGTCCACTTTCACGTCCCCGACAAACACATCCTTCACGTCCCCGTCCACACTACCGACATCGTCGAACACTCCGACACCTCCTCCCAAAGACGACGACGACGATGAAGAAGATGACGACGAAGAAGAAGAGGAAGACGCGGATATTCCGCTGTCGTTGTTACCCTGAGACGAACCCGTCGTGCCGCCTTCTCAGAAGCAGAAGACGAAAAAAAAGAAGAAAAGAAGCATAAATAAAACGGATCACGCAATATTCAAATGAAAGTATCACTGCGATGACGAATCACATTTTTAAAAAATATATATTTATTTCTAGTGAAGGTCGAACCAAGAAAAAAATACTTTTTTCATAGTCATCAGAGAGTCTCACAACAATCAAAATAAACGTTAGGAACATATTCAAATGTAAATTACAAAAATAGTCGGGCGACAGTTGACATTTCACCGATTTTTCTACCATCGATGATGGAAAAAACGTCGACAGCCAAAGCATCAAATATTAAAACTTTAACGAGTTCAGCCCGTTAGTGATTTCAAAGTCGATAATCTTCTAAAATTTTCCGAAAGATCATACGCAACGAAACGTCACAAAAGCTTCGTTCAAACATTCTCCAATAACGCATTCGAAATCCATAATGGTTTGCAATCGGCATTGAAAGTTCAAAAGTGACGGATTCATGGCATCAAAAAAATGAAAAAGGTATAAAATTGCAGATGTGAAACGAGACGATTTTCGAAATCAGAATTCTGGTAAATGCCTTCACGTCAGCAGAGAATACGTTGACAATGATTCGAAAATAATATTCACATTTAAAAATTGATAATTATTGAATCGACGGGAGGCCCTTGTTCTGGAAACGTGTGCAGAAAATAATGACAACTCGCCTTTATTTTTTCGAAATTCCCCTTCAAGGCCAATTTTTAAAATGTGCTTCCAAATTTCGTGGAAAACTTTGCAGTGATGTCGAAATTTTTCAAGGAATTTTTAAAAATTGCGGCCGTTACAATTTCGGGAGGAAAATTCCTCAGAAACTGTGACCGTCCCATAAAAATAAAGTGAAATCAATCTCCGCAGGCATGATTTCAAATAATCATCCTCCACACTTCGATTTTATTTATTTTTTTACCAACTAAAACATTTTACAAATTAAAAACCCTGAAAAATCTCAAGAGAAGGAAGAAGGTGTTTGTTGAACGTCACCTGCACAAGTAGTGGTCGTATTGGTAGCCGGTGTCGGTGTCGACGCCGAGCCAGTGGAGAAAGTGTCACTGGCCACGCTCGGCGGGTTATTGAGTTCACCACTGGAGTTGAGTGAGAAGTAGGTGGCGGCGTCGCCGCAGCTACTCACGCCGGAATCCGCCGGCGGTCGCAGTCCGCCGCCGCCGCCGCCACAACCACCGCCGCTGCTGCTACTACCGCCTCCAACTCCACCAACACCACCACCGCCGCCACTGCTCGACTGGCTCCCTTCGTTGGACAGGTCGTCACGATCGTCATACAACGTCATCGTTCTCTGCGGCGGCTGTTGTTTCAACATGCACGGCGTGTGCTCCACCATAACACTCTCCGACTTCTCCACCACTGCACGAAAAACGCGATTTTTCAACATTTTAATCACTACAAAAAAATGTTTTTATTCTTGATAAGTCCACTGATGGTCCCTACAGGAAAGCACACCAACTTTGGAGAGGACATAATCGTCCATCGAGTTCATAGAACAGTACAACACCTGAGGTGCTTCATTAACTCGAGTATCACGGCAAAATTTTCACTAAAATTTGGCGAGACAAAACGGGTTTCGATTCTTAATTAAGTACAAATCGAAATAATGGTTTCAAACTCAATTACGGATTTCTGCATAATTTAAAACATAAATCAATTAAGAGCAAATTTTGCCTTGATTTTTTTACCTGAGAGAATCAATTGTTGAGTAAAACTGATACTGTCAAAGAACTTTTTTCATCAAATGAGATTGATTGACGTTCATGTGTGTGATTTTAATCAGTGAAACATATTCGAGTATGTTTTCACACCGCTGAAACTGTACATTCATTTTTCACGTCATATCTAAGATTTTCTTACCGTATTGGGACTTATTTATGATAAGCAAATTAGTTGCAGGTTAGCATAATTGGGTCAGTAAGAGACCTATTCACCAAAATACAAGACGATATACAATACTTCTGATCAATCAATGTTGGCTCCAAAAAATTATAGGTTAGGGATACATAAAAAAAAATGCGCCATCATTTGAATAATTACCAGCTGATTAATTAACTGAACGTCTTCCAATGACTGGAGATAAATTTAAAAGCTCCATCTGAACAAATATCCATGCAATGTAAAATTCCAATTCGAAGAGCAAATGCGAATACCATCAGAGTCACATTTCGATGAGCGTGAGATTAATTTTCCTTGATCGCATTATTATTTTGATATTAAAAATAAATAAATAAATTAACAAAAAAAATGAAGGCAAAGCCAGTAAAAAGCAGCGTTTTACACAGAGAGTGGCAGTTTAGAGGGTGGTAGTTTAGCCACAACGTACAGCCGCCCAGGGTACTTGACGGGAACCAAGACCACTATGCAAACTGTGACGACTCCCTTCATGGGAACTACGACCAGAAACTGCTCGTTCGATTGTCTATGCTCCATTTGTGGCTGAGCGTAAACCTTGACACACACACACACACAAAATAGCCCAAAATCGTATAAAAAGGTTTTCAATTTATCCATTATTTTTTATCCCATCACGCACTTGATGATTAGGGGACATGAAGGCCTGATGATTGTGCTGCACAAACGGCTGGTGGCCGTAACGAGGAGCGGAAGAATTGGCAGGCGGGAAGGAGAAACAATTCCCCGCAAAAGGTTGTCTCGTAGGCATCATCACATTGCTCGTGTTCGGTAACGGTTGTTGATAGGGATACGAATTCGGCGGTTGTTGCGGAAATTGCGGAGCGTAACGCGGCCCGGGATTGAAACCCATCATGTACTGGGGTTGCATGTACGGATTCATCCCGGGCTCCTGGGGACAGAACCCCGGGGTTGCGCCGTTTTCCGGCTGCGGAAACGTTGCACCTTGTTGGATTGCCATCACGCTGCTCCGACCGTGGAAATTCTGAGAGTACGCTTCTTGTACCTAACCACGCGATGAGAGAAACTTAGTAAACCCAAAAAAAAAGGTGCAAAGCACTTGGAGAAGCTTCTAATACTGTAATCCACTAAACTTATAGTACTGTAATCCACTAAACTTATAGTACTGTAATCCACTAAACTTATAATACTGTAATCCACTAAACTTATAATACTGTAATCAACTAAACTTATAATACTGTAATCCACTAAACTTATAATACTGTAATCCACTATAATAAACTCAAACATGCAAAATAAAGCCCTGAAGATCAATTGCTTTTACGTGATTGAATTATCTTCCCTTTTTCTTTAGAGACAAGGTCACTTCGGAAGTGTATTCAAATCGACTGGAACACAACAGGAATTTTACGCATATACAGTGATTACTACCGATGATTTGAGTAAGATGCATTTCGTCATAAGCAATTAAGCATTCAACCCGACAGTATAATCGCCTTTTTCAGCGTGGTTTTTGCTTTTACAGCATTTGATCTGAACGCGTTACTAACTTCACTTTCGTCGTCAAAAAAATACAGGTGGACTCTTTACAACGACACCAATAAAAATTCGTTGCGGAGCAAATTTGCTTGTAGATAACCCCTTACCCATTTAATATGGGAAGACAATCCGGGGGAACCAAAAAAATTCTTTAAATACAGGGAAAAAATCGTTGTAGAAATAGTCCATCTGAACGTACATAAATAAATGTTCAAGCGCAAAATATTACTTCAACTTTTATTATTTCTGAATGACGCAAAGAAAAACGGAGCGAACTTCTGACAAAATTTTTATCGGTCACCCTAGTGGACTTTATTCAAGGTTTTTCACACTGTAACTTGAAAATTTCAATATTTAATGTGTATAGTGTAGATCTAGTAGCACTATTATCGAAAGCTTTCTCAAAATTGCGGTTAGTTTCTGAAAAGTTTGTCTTAGTCCACTTTAACGCGATGCTTCACAAGTCCAAAAACATCCAATAAGATATAAGAAGCAAAAATCCAACCCAATGAAACATTCGGTCTTGAGATATTTCTACGAGGTAATGCTTTCTATTTATGCTGGATATCAGTGGTAGTCTGTTCTTTTTCCCGCTATCACAACAAAAATATACACTTCAAAGTTTATCAGCCAAATGAATAAATCCAGTATATTCTGGGACTTACCTGACATTCCGAGGAAGGATAAACACCCCCGTG